CGTGCATGGGACAACACTCCAACCAACATAACCACATTGGCCAGGGCAATAGACTTAATTTTAATAAAAGCACCAAAGACTATTGTTGCTGAGATTTTGCAAATTATATAAACCTAGGAACTGGTTGAATACGCTGACCTGGTGATGAGGAAAAGGCTCTAGGCTAAAGATGCCTGTTTTTAAAGTCATTGGCATTATGGGAACTGCTTGAAATACTGAACTGCATGAGAATACTCAGAATGAATATGTAAAATGAGAATAGTAGAGAAGCAAGGATGCAGCCTAGAAATATGGACATTTAAGCAATGGACAGAGGAAGAGGAAGATAAGAAGGTACAACCAAGGAGGTAGTAGTCAACATTTAGGTACTTAAAATTTAGATGACTTTCCATTACGTCTCTTAGGGAAGCTGCAGTAATGATATCATTTTGACTCTCCCCTGGCTGGGTGTTAACTCAGTAGAAGTCATTTGTTTGGAAAAATGAGTACTGAATATAGCCATAATATGACCATTTATTTAATTTTGAAAAATATATGCAAAGCCAAAGTTTAGAACACCAGGAACTTGTACTATTAACAGCAGGATTGGTGAGGAGAGAGGAGCCAGCGCCCTCACACGCTGAACTGAGTGCTCTGGGGTGCTACCATGGCAATGTGTTCCTCCACGGCTGTTTTAGAAATTGAATTAGAAACGTCTGTTGAAACATAGCCTCCTTCATTGCAGTGGCAGTAGTTCTCACGGCTTAGAACAACCCCAACAGGACATGGTTTCTGCCATTCACATGTGTGGACATTTATTGAATGACTTTTATTCAGGTTATCTTTATAGATGAAGGTAACAAACAGCCCCAGACTTCAAAAAGCTAAGAATTTAGTAGGCACAGGGAAGAGGTCTATTCTGTAATATCACTCAGAGTGAGTGCCATGGGAGAGCACAGACAGTGCATAAAGTGGTGCAATCATGTAGGATGGAGTCATTGAGGATGAGGTGACATTTGAACTGGGTTTTGAAGGATAAGGAGGATTTAGATAGTTATAAAATAGAAAGAGGGAGTCCAAATGGAGACAAAAGGTGAGAACCTAGAGCAGGGGTCCTCAAACTTTTTAAACAGGGGGCCAGTTCACTGTCCCTCAGACCGTTGGAGGGCCGGACTATAGTTTAAAAAAAAAAACTGAACAAATTCCTATGCACACTGCACATATCTTATTTTGAAGTAAAAAAACAAAACGGGAACAAATACAATATTTGTATTTGCATGTGGCCCGCGGGCCGTAGTTTGAGGACCCCTGACTAGAGCATGTTTAGGGAATAACAAGTAGTCCAAAAGAACATAATAGGTTATAGAGGCAGGCCTAAGCCAGATCATGAGAGTCCTTAAAAATTATCTATATATATAAAAGCCTAAGCGACCATTACGACTGGTCGACCAAACAACTGGTTGACTGGTCGCTATGACGATGCACTGACCACCAGGGGGCAGATGCTCAACACAGGAGCTGCCCCTGGTGGTCAGTGTGCTCCCATAGCCAACTCCCGTGGTCCCTCCCCACAGCCAGCTGGTCCCTATCGGCCCCAATCGCCGGCCAGGCTGAGGGACCCCACCCATGCATGAATTCGTGCACCAGGCCTCTAGTAATAAATAATACTATAAGCAGTCACTGAAATGGTTATGAAGAATTACAAGAGCCAGGCTGATTTTTACAAAGAATCCTCCTTTCAGCATGTCAGGGAGTTAGTGGCCAACATTTAAGAAGACTGCTTTTTAACTTTTTCTTGGTGGATAGTAGGTATTGAACAACTTCTTTAGAAGCCAGTGTAAAACTGAAATGTAAAACTAGCCAAAACTTCTACAAATTGCTTCATGTGGTTTGTGGAACACCGTTATCAAATCTAGAAAACTGACTTCTAACCTTTTCATCATCACCGAGAATGTCTGCTTTCAACACTAATGGTTCCTATGTTTTGAAAGACTTATCTTTCACATTTGTTTTATTAATAAAGAGATGATTTTCATTCCACTCAAGCTTCTGAAGTGTCAAGTATGTACAAAGCTCAGTTCATATAATTCTAGCCAAAAGAAAAGAAATACCAGAATTTAGTCTGTGGCACATAGTTGCAGGAGTTTTGTGATACTGAAAATTACCCATGACACATCTGTCCTGAGCTAAGAAGCCTTACCTTTCCCCATACCTGTATGGGTCCCGGGACCCAGGTTGACACTTAAGTGGAACACTTACTCTCTATGCTTCTGAGCTTTGTGAAATTATGGAGAATAATTGACATATACCTAGCTGCCCAGAACTACTTTTTCCTTCAAATTTAAGTTTCTTTTTTTTTTATTGCAAAGAGCCATACAAGCTTAATACAGAAAAACAAAAACAAAAGATGCACATACCAGCAGAAATAACATAAAAAATCTCCCAAATCATTTTCTATGCAAATATACATTCTGCCTTATTTAAACAAAGACTCTTTCTATATTGGTTTTATTACTGTTTTCAGTGTCGATAAAGAAACTCCTGCAACATTGTTTTTAATAGCTGCATCATATTTCATTTGAAATTTTATAACATATTTAACAGATCAGTCCCTTATGATTGGATGTTTGGGTTTCCAACTTCTGAAATTACAAATAGCTTTGCCTTGAATATCCAGTAACTAAATCTTTATACATATCCTTAATTATTTCCTGGGGATAAATTCCCAGAAGAGAAATTGCTGGACATGCATACGTGAATGACTTTTGAAAGGCGGTTGTAGTAATATACATTCTCACCCAGGAGTTTATATTCTGATTGAGAATTAAGATGCTTTCCAGTGGGGAAAAAGTCACTTTAGTATTAGGAAGTAGCAAGTCTAGGTGCAAATGGCTAATAAATAATTAGAGCTGTAGGAATTCAGAGGAAAGAAATCACTTTTAATAGGGAGCTTGGGTACCTTTCATTGAAGATGAGTCTTGAATCAGGGAGTACCCAGAGGGAGAGAGGAAGTGCCCTGCTCACAGAGGGGCACAGGTGGGAACACACAAGAAGTGTCTCTGACCTCATGAGTAAGAGCCACGCATGAGGAGTGCCCAGAAGAGGGGCCAGGAGGAAGGCTGACCCTCGCGTGTTAACTCCAGGCGTCCCTCCTTTTTCTATTTCTCATATAACAGGCTACATTCTTGTCCTGGGTAACTAGGTTAACTACAAGTACCTGAAAAAATTAAAATGTTGAAACCAGGAGTATCATAAGAAATAAATCATGGCCCAGTAGAATCAGCACAGAACTTTTTATGAAGGCCCCTTTCTGCTAAGAATTACTCTGCTAACTGAATCCCCATCACAGGGGACACTTTCATTTTCACCTTTCCAGGTGCTATTTTAAATGCAGTTATTTGTGGGTAACCTCAGTGTTGTCTGGTTTCTCTTTCCTCCAGTGGTGAGAGAGTACGGCTGCTGAGTCAGCATTGGGCATTTCTGGGAGGTAAATGGGGAAATTAGTTTTGCTTTAAGCTGGTCATAGCTGGATATGCTTACTAGGCACATTCACTTTGATATCCAGGCTATCTTATGGAGTAATAGGCTCCATTGAAACTTGAGCAGTTTGTTCTCTTTTGGAATACATCATATGCTTGGACGATAATGTAATTTCTGTGATGTGTTTTCCCCCTCTATAGTATATAATAGCAATGTAAGAATTTATTTGAAAGGGGTTAGTTTATAGTCCCGGGACCCATACAAGTATGGGGAAAGGTAAAGCTTCTTAGCTCAGGACAGATGTGTCATGGGTAATTTTTAGCTTTCATGTATTGATCACTAGTATGTTCTTACAGTTATATTATTGTATTTAACTCCTATAGCAGTTCTGCTAAATAAACTATATAATCCCCATCTTTCAGATAAGGAAACTGAGGCTTAGAAATGTGAGTTGATTGGCCAAGGTCTGACTGTGTTCATGTCAAAACCAATGTTCTTTCCACAGCTAATCCTTTCTATTACTGTTCTCCAGATGCTGACTAAAGATGTTGACCAATTCAAATTGCTTTGGGCTGAATTTAGAGTCATTCAGATCTGGGTGTGAATCCCACGGGTATAATGTGGTTCCAATCATTTAACCTCTCTAAGCTCATTGTGGAATGAGTCTAAGGACTCCACACCAAGGGTTTTCATGAAGATAAATTTGATCTATGTAAAAAATGTAGTACAGAGCCAGACCCTTGAATAAATGGTTCCTACTGCCATTGCTGGGTTTTTATTTTGTTAATTTTGTATCTAGTAATTGGGTCATCTTGGAACATGATGATGGTATCTTAAAATCCTTTGAGGATGTTTTGCTTTCTTAATTTTTATTGTATCATGTGATTGACTCTATCTTCAGAAATTAGCTTTATTTTTATAGTCTATGCCTCAGGTGTGTGCAGAATACAGCAGTAATGTTTATGCTTCCTTAAGACTTTGTGTGGGCCTTAGATGCAGATTTTAAATGGGGAAAATTTATTTGCTATCTTAATTTGTAATTTAACATTTCAGGTTCTGTTTTGGTCATGGTCTGTATATCACAACTTAATGCAACAGATACTAGAATTAGCACCTGGTATCCTGATATCTCTTAGCCCACAGACTGCTCCTAAAGGATGGCCCAACTTTAATAGAGGGAGATGGATGAGGCAGCACAAGCACAGATTGGAGCCAGACTGTAGACCTCTCAGCGTCCTCAAATTGTGGATGATGCATCTAGTTTTCTAGAGTTATTGTAAGGATTGGATGAGACAGTGTATGGAAACCCCCTGCGGGTGCCTGGTGCCTGATGGGCCCTCCCTCCCGCCCACTGCTGGGTTGGTACTTAACTTATGACACAGATATCCTGACATTGTTACAGTGTCTTTCCCTTTTGAATAATAGTATCACCTTACCAGCTATCTGTTATTGGTAATTTTGTCACGTTTTAAGTGTTTGATTTCATAACAATGAGTTTAATTATGTACTTACAAAGTAAATCATTAGCTTTTCCTCACCAGTGATACCAAGAAGAAGCAGGGGATGAGGAAAAGGAGCAACAGTGAAGTGGAGAACACGGGACTCACAAGTCGTAACAGAAAGAAGGCCAAGTGGGAAGTCTTAGAGCCGTTGGATACGGGCCTGTCTTTGGCAGAGGATGAAGAACTGGTGTTACATCTGCTCAAAAGTCAAAGCTAAATGCTTCCTGCTTCATCTTCTCAAGACCTCTGGTCATGGTTATGTGGACAAGAAGTTGAAAAGCTGTCGGCTTTGGGGAAGTCAGATAACGTGAGTCCCAGGCCCAAAGGATGCATTCCAGGCAGAAGTGAAAGTCCCTAAGCCCCTTTCACAGCAAACTCCGAGTGAGGGTGGATCCTAAACGTCTTGATCCCCTTTCCAGCATGTGCCCTGGTAGATTGTTGTCTTGGGCTTTAACCTGTGACATCTTGTCACTGGAAATGCTTTCTTTGTTTTAATAGCAAGTTCTGGAGACCCTGTCTCATTGTTAGGAATTTCTTTTCTTCTTATCTTACAAAAGTGTCTGTGCTGTTAAATAAAATTGCTCGCAGTTTTGATTATTTAATATCTTCAAAAGACAGAATACAATGGACCAGCCCTAAGAAAGACTGAGTATTTTTGAATTAAGATGATTAATAATAAACATATTTCCTAAAAAATTATTGTTTCCATTGTGTCCACTAATATGCATTTCTCAAGGGAAGGTTCTTAAGATTAAAATGCTTGGCCTATTCCTGAAACTGAATTTTCCATATTCTTAAATTAACCTCCTCAATGATGTCATTTAACTTTCACTTGGCAGATTTGCTAGCTCTCATTTATAAAATCTATAGATGTCCTGAATCTAAAACATGATCTAAAACCTCATCTCTTGGCGTGTAGTAGCTTGCAGGCCTTCTGCAAGTGCCTCCTCAGCCATTTCCTCCAGCAAATGCAGCCGCCTGGGAGAGGCCGGGAGAAGAAGACCCCACACGGAGGTGAGCAGGTGAAGGATGGGAGAGATGCTGACAGCGTCCTCTGAGCCCCTGGGCTCCACTCATCTACTCCTTATCCTTCCCTGTATGCCAGGGCTCCGTACTTTTTCTTTTTAATTAAAAACTTTTAATTTCCGTTTTCACATTTTTCCTTTGTTTTGCTTGCAAAAGGAAAGGTGAGCTTGGCTCTGTCGCTTGTATATGATGCACAGCCCTTGGGCCTGGCAGTCCTGACCCCATTGTCCACTGGCTGCCTCAGGGCCTGGGCGGGGGGTGGGGGGGGATTCACATGCAGCCCCCAGGGCTGGGGTGTAAATTTCTTTTTTGCATAAACTACTTCCAGTTATATTCTGTCCCTAAAACTGAATGGATCTTGACTACGATATACATTGTAGGGGATTTTAGTTTGCTGATTTTGAAAACACCAGAATAGAAAGCTCCTAACAACACATGGTAGATTATACTGTTGTTTAGCAAATATTCACTCCAACCCCTCCCTCCCTTCGGGAAGCATATCTTTCCCAGGCTGCTGGTACTGGACTGACTGTGTGACTGACTTTAGGCCTTGGGATGTGTGCCAGTTCAGCAGAGGCTTTAAGGTGCACTGACATTTCCTTCAGCTCTCTCCCGCTTTTGCCTTCCATCTTGGGACCAGCATGGACCAAAGAGAGGACACTGCTTCCGTGTGGGCACAGGGGAAACACTGCAACAGCCGTGCAGCTCCCACGGGCCCCTCCCAAACCTGTGGAGCAAGAATCCACTGAGACTCGGGGAGTCAGCACAGAGGAGCCTGATTAGTGCAGAAGGGGAGAGAAACAAAAGCATTCATTCATTCATTCATTCATTCCATAAACGTTAATAAATTCATCAGCGACATTCCAGGCTGTGTACTTGTAAGAATACAAACAGTTCCCTCTCCTGCTAACAGAGTGGAGGAAAGAGAAAAGCAAATTCATAAATTCATTATTGTATAATGAAGAGCCAGAAAGAGGAAGATGGTTGTCTGAGTGAGAAAGCTGTTGCTGGGATGCGGGAAGGAGGGAGGACAGGGTAGGTGCTATTCCTGGGACCCAGGACAAGGGGTGAGTTCTTGCCTGATGGCTTCCCCGAGGCCGGGAGGCCATTCCTCAGATTCACTCGGGTAAGATGATCTCCAAAATTGCCTCGTCTCAGAGTGGATACACCCAGCCACAGGGCCCTTTGGAGGACTGCCATCTCATAAGCTTAACATGGCATTTTCGATTTGTTTGGGGCTGTAAAAAGTGGATACATTTAATTAAATGTAATTAATTTTGTTACACAACGTTTGGAGCACCCTGAACATGAAAACTCATCTCCACAACTGTCGGGGTCTGCCAGAGGATGCAATGTGCTGAGAAGGTTGTGAGGGGTGGGGGTGGGGAGGAGAGAGGAGGGAGGGAGAAGGGGAAAGGGTGGCCGTGGAGGTAAAGGGGGAGAGCCTCCAGCCAAGGTTTGAAACCCCTGTTTCATGTCTTTGAGGACTATTGTAACTGGACATGTGACCATAGTGCTGAGCAGACAGCAGGCAGGCAGATATGTTTATACCATATTACCCAGCGCCTGCTGAGTCAGGAATCGGCAGCCAGCCTACAGGCTGCCCATTAACCTTTGAGAGAGGCTGGTGCAGAAAGCTCTGCCCAAACATGGACAAATTGGGCAAATTCATTCTTACTCTCAAACTGAAATTTAGGTAGTCAGCAAAATAGGCTCTGAGACAGAACAGGGAGCACATGATAAGCAAAAAGTGAGTTCAGAGTCAGAGTTAGGCGAAGCTGTAAGTGAACAAAAACTGGCCAAACGATAACAGCAAATGGTGAGGATCCAATTAGTAACGTGTATGCAGAGTAATGAGCACAGGGCAGAGCCCCGAGGACCTGCAGAGGCCCCCTATTGAGGTCTCAGGTCCTCCCCGACCCTCTAGGCCAGCGGTTCTCAACCTGTGGGTCGAGACCCCTTTGGGGGTCGAATGACCCTTTCACAGGGGTCGCCTAAGACCATCGGAAAACACATATATAATTACATATTGTTTTTGTGATTAATCACTATGCTTTAATTATGTTCAATTTGTAACAATGAAAATACATCCTGCATATCAGATATTTACATTACGATTCATAACAGTAGCAAAATTACAGTTATGAAGTAGCAATGAAAATAATTCTATGGTTGGGGGTCACCACAACATGAGGAACTGTATTAAAGGGCCACGGCATTAGGAAGGTGGAGAACCACTGCTTTAGATCCTGTCACCATGGGGGTCTCCATGGGGCTTCCCTCCCCTTGGGTCCTGTTCTTAGATTTCTGTGCAAGTTGGTTTCCTTCACTGCCTGAGTGTAAGATGCATTGCCTGAGCTAGTCTGAGGGAGTCCTTGGGTTTTTTGCACCCAAAAGAGCTTCGTTAAAGCTCAGAATACTCTGATGCTGTGCTTCGCAGACTTCAACATGTGCAAGGCATTACCAAGGGGTCCTTTTAGAGCACGAATCTCCAATTGTTGGTCTGAGGTGGGGCCTGGGATTCTGCATTCGTACAGGCTGCCAGGTGGTGGCATGCCACGGGCCCCTGGCCACATTTGAGTAGCAGGACAGAATGGAATTGAGAGAGTTATTAAAATCATTATTCACAGCTAGGGGTTCTGTCAGAGTCCCAGCAGGAGGCAGACGGTGTACACAAACCAGGATCATTTTAAGGGGATTTAGTGAAAGGTTTGTGTACATGGGCCAGGGCAGGGTAAGGAAACCACAGAGGTCCACCTGAGGCTAGGCATGGAAGTGTTACTCTCCTCACCCTGCGGGGCAGAGAGCAAAGGAGAGACTAGCAATTCTTAACCTTCAGTTGACATGTGCCAGCCTGAGGTGACCACAGGGAACCGTCCTAGAGAATAGATGCTGTGACCTCACTCTCCTGCTGCTCTGGACTCCTGCCAGGGTTCCCTCTGGCCCCAACCAAGGCCAGAAAGCAAACTGTGGAGATGTCATCTGTGCCGTCTCCCAGGACACAGAACAGGTAAGGGGCCACAAGACATTGGGATCAAGATGTAGGGTATAAATAGGTGGGATCTTTTTGTGGATGAAGAGAAGCCCTCAGATTTTGTCCCTTTAACACTTCTAAGTACTAGACACAGCAAGGATGGACAACAAGCAAGCCAGCATACAAAGCACCGTCGAGTGAGGAGAAATGCTATGAAAAAACAGCAGAGTGAGGAGAGAGAGCAGAGGGGCCGGGTTGTTTGATGAAGGCAGCGGGACCTCATGGGTAGAAGTCTGAAGCCACAGGGGCCGCTTCCCAAGCACATGCCGCACCTCAGTGGATGATGCAAATGAAAGCTGGTCTTCGCCAAAAGAACCATTTCACACATTTTTCTCTCGTCTTAAATCTCCACAACCTCTCCTTCACTCAGAGCTGGTAACCTTACTTTTCTTCCTTTCTTCCTTTCTTCCTTTCTTCCTTTCTCCTTTCCTTCCTTCCTTCCTTCCTTCCTTCCTTCCTTCCTTCCTTCCTTCCTTCCTTCCTCCCTCCCTCCCTCCCTCCCTCCCTCCCTCCCTCCCTCCCTCCCTCCCTCCCTCCCTTCCTTCCTTCCTTCCTTCCTTCCTTCCTTCCTTCCTTCCTTCTCACCTGAGGATATTTTCCCATTGATTTTTATAGAGAATGGAAGAGAAAGGGAAAGAGAGAAATATCAATGTGAGGAATATATTCCTAGAAGTGGGATCACTGGGTCAAATGGGAGTTCCATATTTAATTTTTTGAGGAAACTCCATAGTGTTTTCCATAATGGCTGCACCTGTCTGCATTCCCACCAGCACTGCACTAGGGATCCCTTTTCTCCACATCCTTGCCAGCACTTGCCATTCGTTGATTTGTTCATGGAGCCGTTCTAACCTGTGAGATGATATTTCATTTTCCTTTTAATTTGTATCTCTCTGATGATCAGTGACTCTGAGCATTTTTTCATATGTCTCTTGGCCTTCTGTAAATCTACTTTGGAGCAGTGTCTAAGTTCTTTGCCCATTTTTTAATTGGATTGTCTTCCTTCTGTCAAGTTGTATGAGAACTAACACCTACTCTCCTCAAACTATTCTAAAAATCCAAGAGGAAGGGACATTTCCAAGTTCTTTTTATGAGACCAGCATTAACTTAATTCTAAAACCAGATAAAGACACTACAAAGAAAGAGAATTACAGGCTAATACCCCTGATGAATATAGATGCTAAAATCCTCAACAAAATATTAGCAAATCGCAATACATTAAAAAGATCATACACTATGACCAAGTGGGATTTATTCCAGGGATGCAAGGCTGGTACAATATTCACAAATCAATAAATGTGATACATCACATAAACAAATTGAAAGACAAAAATCACATGGAAAAAGCATTCGACAAAATCCAGCACCCATTTTTGATAAGAACTCTCAGCAAAGGGGGAATAGAGGGAGCATATCTCAACACGATAAAGGCCATATAAGACAAACCTATAGCGAATATCATATCCAATGGGCAAAAACTAAAACCATTTCCTCTAAGAACAAAAACAAGACAGGGATGTCTACTTTCACCACTCTTATTCAACATGGTACTGGAAGTTCGAGTCACAGCAATCAGACAAGAAGAAATAAAAGGCATCCAAATTGGAAAGGGGGAAGTAAAACTCTCATTCACAGGTGA